GGCTTTTCGCGTATGACGCGCGGCAAGACGGACGACGAGAAGGCGGCCGCATCTGACGAGTGGTACGGGACGGACCTGCCAGGGTGGCTCGGCCGCATCGAAGCCTGCGTCGTGGAGCTATCCGGAGCCGGCGCGTCGCACGCGATCGGTGGCAGTCTCTCTTACGCGGACGTCTGCATCTGGAGCCTGCTGCGCGAGGGGACCGCCGAGGACGCTGCTCTCGTGGCAACAGCCGCCGCAGAATGCCCGACGCTCAACTGCATCGCTGATTCGGTCGCCGCGCACCCTGCGGTCAAGGGGTGGGTTGCGAGCCGGCCGGAGACCGCCTTTTGAGAGAGAGGAGAGAGCCCTTTCTCTGAGAATTCGCATGCACGTGACGTCTCAACTCAAAAACCGCGTCGGCCACGGTGCGCGACGGCCGACGGCCAACGCGCGCAACTCCCGCGCGCGAGGTCCAGCGAGACTCTCTCTGAGCCCTGGCTGTCAGGCTGTCAGGTGCTGTCAGGTGATCTGTCGGGCTGTCGGGCAGCTGTCAGGCACTGTCAGGTGCCTCTGTCAGACCAGCTGTCAGGTGCTGTCAGTGCTGTCGGGTGCTGTCGGGTGCATGTCTGACAGGCGAGGGGTTCTGTAGCTGTCAGGTGCTGTCGGAGCTGTCGGGTGTTGCTGTCAGACGCTGTCGGAGCTGTCAGAGAGAGCTGTCAGGCTGCTGCTGCTGTCAGACGGTGGGCTGTTGCTGTCGGGTGCTGTCAGGTGGTGCTGTCGGGGTGCTGTCAGGCTGTGACACACACCAGCCACACTTATGACACTATCAAGAGGAGACCAGCAGGACTCTACTACACAAACATACTCTAGCCCTACTCTGCCTCCGGTCCCACCATCTTTTTCATGGTGGACGTCACCATCTTCTTGTCTGCCGCACTGAGAGAATAGCAGAGAGGCAGGGTGGAGTGCTTCTTCAGGTACACCTTGCTGATGATCTGGTAGTTGCTGGTCCAGCGGAAGGCCTCCCCATCGTTGTCGCTCGTCAGCTTGTAGTACTTGCACGCGCTCTGTTCTGGTAGCGCGGGCCGTCTGGGGGGGTCCCGTCACCCTTCACCTCACGGTACCACCGGAGGATAAAGAGGCCCTTGGGGTCGTTGATGAAGACCCCGTTGCTGCGCTGACTCATGGAGAGCTGGCGCAGGTACTCTGCGCTGGAGCTGCCCCCCTCCTATGGCGTGATCACGCCGGCAGGGTTGGGCGGCCGCCTGGGGAGCGCAGATGGCGGCGCAGGCGGCGGCGGCGGCGGCGGCACAGACGGCGGCGGCCACCCCCACCCAGACGCCGTAGGCATATGACTGTAGGGCCCCAAAAGGCTAGCTGGTAGCTTCATTTGTAGTAGCACAGCCGCCGGTGCTGGAGAGGGGTCCGCAGAGGTGGGGCGGGAGGGTTGAAAGAGAGACCCATGACCATCCCATGACTACATGGACCAGGAGGGGAACGCGACTCGCTAGATCTACACAAAGAGGGGGGGCGCTGGCGCGAGTTGCCGTCGCCGATGAACGACTGCGATGAAGAATTCGACTAGCCCGACGACTGGCTCGGACTGGCACTACAAAAGGCACATCGATGAGGGAAACAAAAATCACCAAAAAGAAAGAAACGAAAGGGACAAGCCAAGGGAGGGATGGGAGGACGGCACGCCGCCACCACACAGGGATTTCAAGCAGCCCAACACTACTTGCGATGGGCTCCCTCCCAGCTCGCTGCCAGCCCTCTGTAGCATCAGGTGCAAAGGAAAGAGTGGGCTTATTTCAAGGAGAGGAGTGCTACTTGCAAAAAAAATCTTCCCGCCCTTGGAACAACGACCGACCCACTGTTGCATGCCGGAAACCCCCGCCGCCGCGTCGCCTGACTGGGAGCTTCGCCTCGTGGGTGGCGCCTCCACCGTCCGGAGCGTGCCGCTCTCGCAAGACGTGACTATCGGACGCACGGCGCTCGGCATCGACGGCTCGACAATCTCTCGGAGCCGCCACGTCCGCTTCTTCTGCGACGCCGAGCACGCTGTCCGCTGCGTCGCTCTGCACGA